GCGACTAGATTTGGTAAGAAAGTGCTCTTTTTTGTAATTATCATGTATTAAGTCAAAAATAACATTTCAGATTTCCCAATTCCTACAATATGAGGAAGAGCTCATGAGCGGGAATGCTGGTGTATTGGCGATGCTAAACAGCTTACCTACGAGCTTCAGCTCGGAATCTTCCTCAAGCTCTGATGAATCGGAACGGGAAGAAAGGAGCGAATGTGAGAACTTTTGTGAAGTCATTAAAGGTTACAACGAAAGTGAATTTAAAGCCCGCATGAGACTATGGCATTCAACTGCAAAGGTTTTAATCGGTACATTGTGGACATATTTAAGTTTTGTTGTTCATGAAATAACCATTACTGTTTTTTTAGAGAAATATGCAAGCAGTGCCGAGCCTAGAATGAACTATAGTATATATTAACTAAATGCCCTATCGACTCAGACCAAAACTTTTAAAGTCCATACATTCGCACGCAAATTTATTTCGGTTATTAACCCTGATATACAGTTCAATGCGAGCGTGAGCGTGAGTTTTTTATTTTGACCAATATCTTCGTTATTACTCAACTTTTTGCTATAGTTGAGACATGAATTAAAATATCTTTCAGAATTATAGAATAAAAACTAATTTAAAATGCATAATATGCCTTTTTTTAGCTCACACTCAACTATGTGCGTACGCAAAGCGTTCGCATGTGAACGACAAGTTTTGACAGATGTGGCATATTATGCATTTTTAACATAAACATATAAGACATATTCTGCGTCAAATCATAAACCGCACATCCAACTTTGTTACCAACTACTAATGCGTATGTAGCCATTACATAAAACCCTTCTTGCTTTACTCTCGCCAGTTTTTCTCTATACCTTATCCTCAACATTTCCAAGTTAACGACATTTTTCGATACCCCAAATCCGACAATTCTAGCGTTAGACAAGAAAACCTTTCAAACTGAACAGTAACATTTTTTCTGTCAAACATATGCTTAAACATGTTATATACGTAACGGTAACTTGATTTACCAGCCTGAGACCCGCCTAATAATGTTCTAAGTTCCGTATTTTCCAACCACTGTTTGGCCAGTTATTTTGCAGGCAACCATGCCGCTCTACTAAGTGGGGGCAACTCTCCTGATAGCGCATATCTCGTGTGAATTGGTGTGCTAGGTGGGACTCCTAAGCATCTTCTAAAAGTTTCATTAGTAATAACTTGCAACCTCCTATTCATTCCCTTTGGTGTATTTGCCAAAGTCGTTAAGCCATACTCAACTTTTGACCCGACAAAGGACTTGTAAAAATTTAGGGCCTCTCTTGGAGAAAGACCCTCTTTTATGTTGATAAGCTTTTTAATCAAATTAATCCCAGATCTAGCATCGTTCCTACATAATTTAACATGCTCACCTACCGTACCATTCACACTTATCGTCCTACCCAACCACTTCAAATTGTTCACCTGCTCGACAATTTTACCACCTACTGTGAGATTGAAAGATTTGCCTCTATTGGACGTAACACACATGAATTTAGATTTTCTTTCATTTATCTCGAGACCCAACTCGCCACAATTATTCTGAAAATCTGTTAAAACATTAGAGATAAAGATTAGCTCCTCAATAATGGTTTCCTCATCCTTCGACAGACAACTGACCTGAGGCAAACCATTGTTGACTTCAACCCTTTCATCGTCCATTATTAGCCATATTTTCGAGAAAAAAACTATGCATCCAATTATATATTTTTGGATTAATTCCAGTTTCCAACATGATAACTCTTATTTTACCAATGTTCACACCACTGTAGGCATCTGCTATATCCAAGACTCAGAGAAAGGCTTTCTTCTTCCTATATTTCAAACTAGCATTTAAATGAATAACTTCATTTAAGCATCTAGATGCCGATCTCCCCTTTCTGTACGCAAATGAACTTTTCGGCAGAATTTCATTAGTTTCCGTCCACTCACTTAGCTCCTCTTTTACCATTATATTCAAACATTTGGCAGTAACCAATATAAGCGATATAGGTCTAAAATTTTTGAAGTCATCTAACGATTTGTTGGCTTTTGGTAATGGGACTACCTAAATCTCCCTCCATTCATCTCTCACTATAGTACTATTAAAACTTCTTTCCAAATCTTTCAAAAGCGATATCTGTGTCTCCCTTGGTAACATTTTTAACATATCGAATGTGATCCTATCACCTAGCACCACCATTCGTTAAATTAACATTCAATGTTCCTTTAGGAACCAATATTCCTTGCATCGGAATGCAAAGCGTGCCCACGCCATCAACAGACGCCGTAGCGTCCGCCATCTTAAACGGTTGCTACCGTACCCTAACCTATAAAATTTTCCACTATCAGAGACTTACCTCCAAAATTTTAAACCACCAATCTCCTTCCTGCAACTGCAGATTTTACTCTTCCACCTCCAGAATATATGTATACACTCCGTACACTTATTGAATTCAATCACTGACTTTACTTAAATACGGTATAAATAAATTTTTCCTTTTTTTAACACCACTGCTTCTACCGCTGCTAAACCATACAGCCACTTCTCCAATCAAACACCAACCAAATACTCCAGCTACGCTCGTACCACTTGAATATGCTCAAGAATCGAAAGCAATCGAAATTTGCCAATTGAATTTATAAGCAAACGCTTAATATTTTAATTCGCAAAAGATCTCCGTACTGTTTGTAAATCCAACGTCCGCTCGATTCAACAGTTCAAGACGAAGGCGCTGGACTGATCCTTTTTAACATAGTTAAGAGTATGTGTGGCTATCCTCGCTGTCTGAGATCGACTGTTCCCATGCAAAAACTTCATATAAATCTTTTAAATAGTCCTGCGATAAAGCCCCCAAGAAAGGTTCGCCACCATCGGAATCATAACTAGGAGAATACTCCAATTTGCATGCCAAAGGCTGTTGGGGATAAGGTATCGTGATTTTAATTGGGTTAAAAATCTTTGGGGCGCCGAATAAAGTTCTTGCTGGAGGCGATGTAGCTGATGGGGGTGAGTCAAAATGATGTATTCTATGACGCGTCCCAGCAGTCACAAGACGATATCGCTTCGTTTTAACGTGGCGAGCTATTAGAGGCAGACACTGCAGACGTTCGTCTTTGCTCACTAGATGGTAAAGAAAATTTGAAAATAAAAACTATACATACATATATGTATGTATGTACATTAGGGTGCATCACGCTCCATCGCTTATCGGAATTATAAAATGTATAATATTGTAAGTTTTCCGCCGAAATATTTCGGTAAAATATTAAGATTTAAGTGAGCTAAACACATTTGAAAAATCGAGTTTTTTATAAAAAAAAATTGCTTTTTCGAATCTTTTCTCAAAAAATCAACTCACATGAGCTAAAATCTACCCAGAATTACAGCGGATGACGGTAAAGCGGTCGGCGGTAAGTGAACAGCTGTATAGTTGCCGGAGGGAGATCCGTCAGGGTAAACGCAATTTTTGGTGATGCACCCTAATGTGTTTGAAAATGTTATTACATGCCTAAATATGCGCCCATATTATACTTACAAAACAATTGGCATACTTACAAAACAAGTGAATAACTTTGAGTGCCAGTGCTGGGCTTAAGTACATATTTTCATGTGCCACCAATATATCATCACACACACATTTCATGTAGGACCGCATCTCATTGAGTTGTTCTTCATTTAATTCGTTAAATAAATTTAATTTTTTATTCCAATAGAATCCCAAGTAGCCTGCGTCTAAGCAGCATTTCAACAATGAAAACATCTATGAGAGAAATTTAAATTTAAATTCACTTTCAGACACATCTATGCATGTTCGAGCTACAACAGTAATACTGACATCTTTAATAGAATCACAGAGTCTACGCGCCCAGTATTCGTTATCCACCTGAGAATTTCTCCATAAAAACAGTGTTTTAATGTAGTAGCTTTTCAAATTGTTCATATTTGGATGGCTATCGCGAAACTTCTTCAATATTCTTAATGCATTTTTCAAATTGTTCTTATTTTTAATCAGTTCCCTTTCCAATGAATAGTATGAAGCCCGAAATGATTTGGTATTCTGCACAGGCTTTGGTATGCCATGCCATTCGGGAGGGCTATTCTCCATTATGACATGTTGCGCACCCAATACTATGCCCGGTACAAAATCTACCGAAAATTTGCATGGTTCACTAACGGTAATTGTGTGCGCGGGGCCACAACGTTGATACACAAATTTCAAGTTGGACGGTACACCTTCCACGCTATTTTTCATAGCCAATAGCGCTTTGCTGAAACAGCTTTTCAGCCAAGCATGTAATTTTTCTATATCCAAATATTCGCAATCGTTATCCTTTACAGTCCAAGTTCGAAGTTTTTCATAGAGTAGACAATTTTGCTTTTGTGATTTTAAAGTTTTCAATACATTCTTCACGTCAATGAAAAAATTTCCCGGCAAATCGGGATCCTCCGTGACTAGTATTTCATCTTTGGCGGGGAAATTTAGAAAAAATACCAAGTCATACTCATCAGCGCGGTTGACCTTGACATTGTCCCCATAACTGCCTGTAGTCAAATATTGAAATCAAACAATTAATTTGGAGGAAAAGTTATTCAGCCTGTTCTCGGACTATAGGATTAGGTCAGAAATAGTCCGGAAGATAATACTGAAGATATTACAAATGTGTGAACGGCAACGACTTCGGGCTATTGCTGACTGCATCCTGGAGTACGGGAGCATACTAGTTCTTGAAGATTATTAGTTCTTAGCTTAAAAAATAGGAATCATAACTTTCTATAGTAGGGTTAACTATCTGTACACTTAGAAAAAGTTATAAAATATGCACTAAGTATATAAGTAGGAATTAAAATATAGGGACCTAAAGTTTAGGGTGGCCTCCGAATGGTAGCTCATTTTTGGTTGATTTGAGGTCAGCTGCCTAATGAAGACAAAAAATCTGAAGGCGATGTTCCCTGGCGAAAAAATAACGTCGGCAAGCTGTGACAAAAGGCATGGAAACTCCTCAGTAGGGCTAAATTAATTGATCACACTGTTGGTACACAAAAAACGCCGAGACACATAAACATAATTTTGGGTAGTAGATTAAGGATCTCTTTGCCGATTTTCTAGATCAGCAGCCGGAAAATCTCCAAAAGAATAACAGGTGCGCCGATTCAAAAACGCCCCATCTCAGCACATTTTCAATGTATTTTCGTTTGAAATAGGGCGTTCTTCAACCAAATTCTGAGAGAGGGTGATTTTCAATAAAATTCTAAAATAAGGCGTGGTTAGAAAAATTTTTTGAGATAGGGTGTTTTTAAACTGGCTGCCGGGATAGATCGATCTTCCACTCAGCCAACGATGTGTAATAATCAGGCATACAAATTTTACTCATTGCACTGCGATAAATCAGATTTTATACTTGCTTATACATACATACATACATTCTAGAGGACTGCATGAATTAATTCAAACTTCTAGCCAAACAGAGTACAGTAGATTTGAATATTTTACTTCACATACAAAACACTCAGCGTTTGGAATTTTGTAAGTTATGAATATACATTTTGTTTTAAATTTTCTACCTCCAAATGGAAGAATATGAATGAATGAGTGGAAAACATTCGAATCATTCAAAGTCATTTCGGTAAAAGCTTTTTCTACAAACAAGTTTTTGCGTATTGTAATAGGAGCACTGCAATACATATATACATACATACATATGTATGTTTCTACATATGTGTGTGCACAGAAAAAATATTTTTGGATATTCATACAAAAATTTGTAATTTATTTTAATTAAATTTATTCTCACTTTGTTTGAATATTGTAATGTTGACACATATATCAGACAGGTATTCACTGAAATTCTAAAAATTGGTAAGCCAAAATTATTCATTCCTTTTGTATATGAATAATTCATAAGCC